TCTGCTCTGTGTGGATGTGGTTTGGAGAAATGACATGCAAGGAAATACAAACATTTCTTTTGCTACTGTCAAAATAAATGTATAATTCATCATATTTACTCCTCAGACAGATGACTCTGAAATATCAGATGAGAATCAGAAAGGCTCCAATGTCTCCAAGTGTCTTGTTAAATGACACTGTTCTATGCTCCGCAGGCTGAAAGATTGATTGTTAAAACAGTTTCTAATTTATGTTTTAAAAAAGCTTCGGGAGCCAGGCGCTTCCCTGCTCTCACAGAGGGCACTGAGTTAAAACAAGGTAGAGTGATTTATCTTGCCTCAATTTGGCTGTAATGAGTATTAAGTGGTTTATCTGTGTGAAGAAAAGTTACTCAGCTAGATTGCATCCAAGCTGAATTACACCCCATTCCAGATGGAGTGTATTTTTTAAGTCAGTAAATCTTGAGGAGAGTGGATAGTAACAGTAATGCTCTTTCCTGGGCTGGAATGCGACTTTTCTACCTCTCATGGAGATAATGTGCGGAGCTACATCCAATTAGTTTTTCAAAGGCTTTGTAAAGAAACAGAACTTCAAGTTTTACAGCTCTGTGAACTATTTAGCTTGAAGCATTTACGTTGTATGAATGAGTAATCGCTGATGGTGATTGTGGTTTTCATCTGTTTTGCTGCTCTGGGTAGCAGCCTGGCAGGACACAACACCAGTTCTCTCGCCAACCTCTTCTTCTGCACTAAGTGTGATGGCTGCGACAGGGAGGGTTCTGGGTGGTAGGTGAGATGTTTTGATGGGAAATTCCTTCCCTCTGGTGCCATCTGGTCCACTAAGGCACCCATTGCTCATGCAGCTGGTGCTTATGAACCCGAGGAGTAACTGGAGGAGGCCCCAGTGGTATCCCAGGTGGCACCCAGGGCCAGAGCATCCTCCCAGAAAACTTATCCTTGTCCACATGTCCTTAACCACCATCCTTTTATCTGTTTTGCTGATACAGTACCTCCCCTTCACTCTGCTGTGCTTCTGCAGAGACAACCGAAGTGGTTGTCCAGCCAGGGTAGGACAAGGTGTCAGGTTGTGGGCAAGGCACCAGAGGGCGTGGATGGACTCGAAGGCACCATGAGGTGGTGGCCAGGCATGTGTGCTGGAGATACACTCCAGCACCCAGGTCTGGGATCTGCTCATGTCACTGAGAAGAGCACATTTGGGCTGCTGAAGGTGGAGCATTCCTCACGGCTGGCAGCAGGCTTTGATTAGGCAAGGAGAACCATTTATTTAATTTCTAGTGAAGGATATGAGGAGGCCTGAGCTGTCTGATCCAGCTCTGCTGCCTCTCTTGGGTGGGTCAGCAGGGCCATCCTTGCCCCATGGCTCTGGGGGAGGCAGGAGAGGAGGGAAACTCACTGATAAGAGGAAGGTCAGAGGCAGAAAAATGTTGGGAATGTGTTTCTTGATCTAATGTGGGAGAGACCCAACTGGGGGTTTTGCTGCTCAGCCCAGCAGTGTTACTGCCTGCTGTCATGAGAGTTATGGGATTTTTTAAACCTGAGATCAAGATGCAGATGGCTCATCTGTCACCTACCTCAGCACAGGCAGGTCCAGAAGATGGAGACGATTCATCTCTGAGGGCACAGCGAGGACAGTGATAGCTCTGAGCACTGTTTCTCAGCCTTTGCCTTGAGATGGAGCATCTTCTCCTGGCAAAACAGCTCATTTGCTTTCCTTCTTCTCTAATGATTCTATGTTGCTGTGGGGTGTTTTCAGGCTGAGGTCAGTCATCAGACATGGTTTGGGGTTGGGGATTGGTGTTTGAAGAATTCTAGCAAATCTCAGAGCAGACTTTCAAGACTGGGGGTAGCTGTGGTGTGCATTGGCTCCTGGGAGTGCAGGGCTTGCCTTCCCAAGGAATACCCTTTTATTTTCCAAGGGATATGAAACCAAAGCGAAGAAATAGTTCTTGCTCCATTTCCCTTTCTTTGGCAGCCATGCTCTATTCTCTCTGTCAACCAACCAGTCAAATGTTGTGGTATTCAGGGCCTGAATACAACAGCTTCTGTGCCACCATTCATGCGCTTAACCTTAATTTCCTGCAGCTGTTTGCAGTACTGGAACACACCACAAGCACATGTTGAAGAGGTTGCTCATGAGGTTCAGGTTGCCAGCCTCCACCTTGGGTAACTTCCTGCTGTGCTTGAACGCAGAGCTTCTGGAGAGGCACAGAACTGTGAGAAGAGCTTATTTGCATCAGAAATAGTTCCTATAAGCTTTTGTTTTCATTGCTGATCTTTGCAGCTGATGTGATGTGGTGGTCTACAATATAAACACTTTTAACAGTGATAGAGTACAAAAGCAAGGGAGGACGCTGGTATAGCAGGGTGCTGCTGCTTGGGAAACAGGCTTGGACTGCTAACGGGCAACAGATTTAGTGCTGTAGTTCTGGACCCTGTGTCTGTTACCGGCACCAAGTCAGAACTTTTTTAGCATTATTTAACATTTCTACACTTGTTTATGCAAGTGTTGCTGTCTGTGCAATTCGGGCATGCTGTGACTGGGCTGCGTCCAGAACCAGGCGTGGATTGAGCTTTTCCTTTGACACCAGCTTTGAATCCTTCCTTGAAGCCCTGACACTTAGAGATAAAAATCAGGACCTGCTGTTCAGGATCACTGCGTTCATTGTGTAGAGGCACTCAGCTCTGCTGCTGCCCTGGCAGCGGGTGGGTACTGGTGAAGCTGGAGGGTGAGGAAGGACGTGTTATCTGGCCAGATCTACTGATGGAGGCTGTTGTATCCAGGGAGAGTGTAAAGGTGGAGTCTCTGGTTGTCTTCAGAGAGAGCAGGAGACTGTTCTGGGAAATGTTTAGCCAAATGGATACTGTTGGACTGAATTTAGGGGAGAGTTAACAGAGTGTGGTGGCCTGGGATGCAGAGGTCAGACCAAAGAGTCCATGGTCCTTTGCTTTGTATTTAAGCATCTCAGACTCCACTCTCACCCCACTGGAGGACAGGTTCATTACTAATTCAGTCAGCAAGTAGTTCAAGTTGATGCTGAAGTCTTGCTGACTTAAGCATTGATCTTCTACAGCATTATAGTAGGTATAGACCTTTTGATACACGTGACTAAATTCACGATGCTGTTAGCATGAGGCCTTCACAGGGAAGGTGCTATGGACTGGTATTATAACCTACTTGGTTTGCCCTCTTCTCCTTTGACCTGGAGACTCCTCCAATGTTGGGTTGTTGTTGAGCAGAGAGAGTTTGTGGTCCCTGTGGCTGAAGGTGATATTGCTGTGAACTTCCTCACCACTTAAACCGTTCAGTGAACTTCCATAGCTTCCTACAGTGTCTTCTTAACCTTTTCCATGAGGACGCATTTGGATTTTCTGGGTTTGGACAGAGCACAATCCAAACAAGAAAGCGAGCATGTTTTCTCTGAGAGTGTTTGTGCTTTAGATGGGCACTTGACTCTGATCCATCCTGCTGTTCCTTTATGTGTGGCTTGGCACTTGTCTATGGCAGCACTTTTTCAAGCATATTTCAGTTTTCCTCTTGAATGGTCAAAGGACTCTCAGTGATTAGCCGTAGCTTACATGCTGGCTCTTATGCGAAACTGCCCCCAGAGTGGCCAAGAAACCGCATTCAGGCTGGTGCCAAGTGCGTTCGGCGGCTCCTGGCAAAGGCAAAGGTAGGCTCTGTGGGGCAGAATCAGCCTAAACCTTACACAAGTGCATGGGGATGTGCACAGAGATGCAGCCAGTGGTGCTCTCTAGCCTGATGGGGCCCATCCTGGAAGGAGAGAGCAATCGGCAGTGGGCACCGGTGTCAGCTCGGCCATGTGAACACCCCATTCCTCACCAATTCATGCTCGGCAAGAAGTCCCGTGGTCCCATAGTGGCTTTTGCAGTCATACCATAATAAATGGAGTGTTATAAAATATAATTTCATTTCACATTTTTGCAGAAAGCATTCGAGTTTTTTTGTAGGCATAAGCTGCAAAGCTCTCTCCCTCTTTTCCTCCTGCTGTAACAATTCACAGCCTCGGCTACCAAAATTACAAATGGAGGAGAAATTTTGCAAACATCCAGGTGGATGGAAGGAACTATTGCAAACTGCTAAGCTGTAATGAAAATGGAGAAAAGGTTTTCCCAGGTTCTTTTATTTTCTTTCCTGTGAAATTTGCAAATGTGTTGCTTCAAAGCACATTCCAAAACAAAAAGCAGATGTTTTGGAGAGCAGTAAGCCACCCACAGAGCTCTCCTGCAAGTTATCTTCTATGCCAGGTCACCCTATCTGGTGTTACTCTCTTACTGCGATGATAAACTGGCCTTTGCTTTCCTTCAGGTTGAATATTACCGTTTTATGTGAGATATTCTGTATTTTATTGTCCTGGTATTTTTTCTGCTTAGTGTCATGTGCTTCAACTAGAAACAAACAGATGTCCTGGGTAGCACTTGTGCGTACGTCGGGCTGTGTATGCTGCAGCTCTGTGCCCTTGCTGTATTTGCTTCTTCCCCTTTCACAGCACCGGGGCTTGTGGCAGTGACCTCCTCACAGAGCTGTGCCAGCAGGTTGTTATTGTGGGGCTTTCACTTGTTTTGGAAAGAAAAAGGCATGTGTGCATGAAGGGGTTGTTTATTCAAACCTGAAAGGAAACGTCTTGGTGAGTGTTTTGGAGCATTTTAGAGGAATGAGAATGGCTTTCAAAGCTAGGAAATTACTTTCATAAAATTATGAAACACCATATTTCAACTTCACTTTCCTTCTGTACCCCTCATCCCCCAACCTGGTGGCGCTGATACGGATTCACAGAAGATACTGCTGTTGCTGGATCTCAGCTTTTTAGTAAGAAAGACTTTTGGCAGAATCTCTTCCTCACCCTATGCATACACTTGGGGTTTTATTCATTAGATTTTTTCTGAACTTGCCTTCTACAGAGAGACAAAACATACTGCTGACTGACAGTAGTTGCCTGTCACACAAGAAGCTTATACATATTTTTTTTCTTTTCTTAAAGATTCATCTTCCAACTATATCAGGCAACTAGAAACAAAAGTGAAGCTGCTGGAGGATGACAACAAGCTTCTTTCCCAGGTAGGCTTTTTATTGCCTAATAGATATTAATATGGCTCAGTTCTCCTACTTCCATATAATTGTGCCTGACTGCCTACGTGAATGCACAAGGGCTTTGGTTGACGTCTTACCAGGGGAAGAGCATAATGTTTGTTTCATATCAACTCCCCACTAATAGAATTGGGTCTCCTTTGGTGTTTTTTTGGTGTTGTTGTTCCTTTCTTTGTGTTTGTTTTTTAAAAAACCCAAACAAACAAAAAACAAGAGAAAAAAAACCATATCCTGTGTTAGCGTCTGTGCCTGTTTTGGAGATGCGTTAACGTGTCCCAGCAGAACACCTTGATCCACCACTGCTCTCAGGGATGCTGTGAGGGTCTAGCGCTGCCTGTGCCCTTGCTGTACGATTTTGTCTTTCTTGCCCATTTACATTGACTTTTATGTTGTTGAAAGAGGAGGTTGTAGTCAAAGCACAGCCTTGGGAGTAGTTTTGTGCAGTGCTGGCTCTCAGCTTTTGTTTGAGATCTTGCTTAAAACTGAACAGATTCTCTAAACTGGCACTTTTTGCCTGCATCTGCCCTTCAAAGTCTACTCCGTGTGCCACTGGGCTTTTGATCACTCCTGGTGCTTGCCTGTCTATATACAGCAATGTCAGGCAGCAGAAGGAAAGCAGTCATTCTGTCTGGTATGTCCCTTGGATCCCTGTAAAAGACAACACTTGGTGTAAACAGGGGCAGCTTTGCTGAATTCGGTGAAATACTGTCTATTTAAACCATCAGAAGAGTTATCCTTTTTCTCTTGTCCTTTGCATCCTTTCATTATTGTAATTTCTACCTCCCTGGCATTTTTAAGGGTTTTTTTTGTATACTTTGCTTCTTACTTCAAGCACTGAATTTTACAGTCCAGGTTCTTTCCAGTTACGAGGACTGGAAATAAAAAAAAGCACCCTTCCTAATTATTTTTTTTTTTTAAATCTTTTTGCCAGTTTATGTTGTTCTGTTCTTTGCATTTCACCAAGTCTGAAAATAGCCTGCTCCAGGATCACGTGTTTCTAAACCATTCCTGTTTAAAAAACCCACACCATTAAAAGGCTCTATGCTTACTGAAATTTCAATAAAATAATTTTCTAAAATCCTTTTTTTTTTACTGAAATACAGATTTTGACCTGACTGTGAGCTTTTTTTGAGGATTACTCCAAATTTCCAGTGGCTTTACTAGCCATGAAACAAAATTCACAGGACACCGAAGGGTTAACACCCCAAAAGGGTGCAGCTACCCAGTGGCTTCATGTATTAATCAATTGCTAATTTAATTTTAAATCTCTCTGTCTTCCTCCCAACCCGTGAGTAAGCTGGTGGTGGTCGAAACCTCGAGACTATTTAATTGGAGCTATTGATAAGCAGACGGGCTCTGCGTGGGCAGCTGGGATGCACATGGATTCGGGGACGGGCTCGATGTGCCCTTGGCCCAGCTTCGTCCTACCCCAGCTGAGCACGTTACTCTGTTGGATCTGCCTTATGAGGTCAAAGAAAAAGTGATTGGTAATTAATGGGTGGTAAATTAATAGGGGCTGAGATGGCTGCCTGGGCTTATTGCACTGGGGGGATGAAGCCCAGTTAGTCTTGGGGTGCGTGAGCCTGACGCAGCCTCACACATCAGCCCTTCCCCTTCGTGCTGTCCTGGGTGGGCTGACCCTTCTCCTCCACACGCACAACTGTCCTCAGGTGTCCTCACCTTTCAGGCTGTGTCACTACAGACGTCTGAATCCAGGAGGGAGGAAACGATCTTAAAATAGCTCTGTGCTCTGGAGAAGGGCAGCCGCTTCCCCGGCAGCATCAGGCACTGATGCCAGCCTGGCTGTGACGTTCTGTGCAGCCCCTGCACGATGTCTTGATGGCCCTCGAGAAAGATGAAGTAGGATCTATTTTAGATCACACTCAGGAAATGCCTCTTTTTTATCGTAAGCAGGGAGACAGCTCTTCTTAGGGCAGCCAGAGAAGTGTTGAAGCTTCCATGGTCTGAGTGAACTCCCTGGGAATATTCAGCTGCATCACATCCAGATCTACATGCTACAAACCTAGATCTTGATTTTCTTCTCGTTCAGTGAGAAAGATGAAGAAAATCTGTAGAGGCACAAACTCACACGCATGTACGCATCTCTCCCAGCACTTTCCTGGAAGAGTGTAATCCACTTAGTATATTCTTACTTCCTTCATCTGATTGGAAAGTGTTTATCTGTTACCATGCGGATTTCGGGAAGAGATTCTAGTCAAAAAGGATCCTGGCAAACATTCTTCTGTTTTTAAAGTTACCAGGTGATCCTGGCCGTTTGAACTCTGCAATGCCAAACTGGCTTGTCAACACCAAAGTCACATTTTAACTTGGCTTGGCTTTCTCCCTGGGAGTATTGACATTGCAATAATATTTGCAGTCTGGTGTCAAGAAGCTCTATCGCCAGCGTGATGAGGAGCGATGAAACCTGACGTCCTCAGTAACAAACAGTGCCTGTGCATTAAAGGATTAACAAATCAGTGGTGGTTATGGAAGTCTTCCTGGCTTCTCTCCAAGTGCTAAACACAGAGCTGAAATAGTGCTTCGTCCAGAGAAATCTGAGAAGGCTGGTGCTGCAAATGATAGTGCAAGCTTTAAGGGAGGATTTATTTTACAGCGTCCGGTGGCACAATGTCCCTTTGCTGGCTGGTACAGCCTGGGCGAGATTTGTTGCTGTCTTCTTCGGCATCTGAGGTGTGAAGCTATGCTGAGAGATGGTGTCTTTGTACCACCTTCAGGCATGGAACTGAGTTGGATCGGTGTTCCTAGCCTGTGCTTTTTCTCCTGCTTCCTGATATCTCCTTCCTCTGTAAGCACTTTATAAGAAAATCTCAGAAGGAGAGGTGAGATGTCTGCAGCCGGTGCTGAGGCGGCCGCTCTGCGCTGTACGTGTTACCGGCAGCGCAGGCGTGCTGGGCTCACACTTCTCTTTTTCTAGTGACTCATTTGAACAGAGTGATGGAGGCAGCTTTTCCTCCCCTTGGGAGATCAAGAAGTCCCATCCTACGAGCCACACTTTGCAGGGGAGGAAAGTAAGTGGAGAAGTGGATGTTATTTATGAAAGCGTACATGGGTTTTTTTTGGTTTTGACTTCTTTTGCTTTTTAGGGAAGGAGATGTGTATTTCCAGATGGGAAATGAGCTGCTTCTGACATCGCTAACCCATCAGTAATCATTACTATTCCCATTCTCCTTTCTCTGAGGAGAAATGACCTTAGTTTTATACCTGTCTTTGACTCAGGTTTACACTGTAACACTTTGCTGGCCTGGCCATGTTAACTAGAAAGTCATGCCCTTGGATGGCAATGCTGCGCTGGCAAAATCCCTGGCAGCAACTCTGACAACACACAGCTTCCTTTACCCTGGTTTATATTGGTTGGGGAGATGCTGTAGCGAATGCCACTACCAGAAAAGGCCCCTGGCTGCCTGTTCAGTGGTGCTGGTTGATGTCTGTGGTGCTACCACAATGGCAAAGACCTCACAGAGCAGGTGAAGATCTCAGTGTCTTGGGGTTGTCCATGTCAGCCTTTCCCACAAGCGGAACTAGTTTTGGGAAGTTTCGTCGAGGTGTAAAGAAGATGAACGTAAGCTCTGAGGAATGTTGGGTGTGGGCTTTGGAGAGCTTCACAGGCATCACTTTCAGAGTCTCAGATTCTCTAGGGAAGAAGAGCACTAAGTTCTGCTGTATGAATGCAATTAATCTATGCAACATCATATGGGAGAAGTCCTGTTTTTCCTCTATATCATCATGGGGAGTGCCCAGGAGAGCTAGTGTTAAACTTTCTATTCATCTAGTCTGGTTGACTCAATGAGAGTGCCTTCATATTGCTAAGGTATGACCCTGAGGTGGGAGACCATATTTACTTTATGTTCCTCTCAGCTGAAAGTTTCCAGACAGAGAATAGATCCCTTAAGCCACCTCACACTGCCCCTTAAACTAAAAATGAATTTATAATTATACCCTTTCCCCTCAAGATTAGTGAAACCCCTGTTTATGAGTTTTGGGAGCTCCAAAGTTCAGTTCTGCTTAGTTTTATAACTAGTGCCTATGTTTTAGAGATAAAAACAGTGACGAACTTCTGGGCATTCTGTCATGTTGTTTTGCATTTTCAGCTAGTTCTGTACAATGGCAAGGATTAGGCACTTTTAAATAAAAATAAAAGTTTTTATACTATGTGGACTCATCACACTCTTCTCTCCTCTCATAACTAAGTCCTGTGCAGCGTGGGCTGGCCGTTGGGACTTCTTTTGGTTTATAATCTCTGCTGACATGTGTGTGACTTCTCCCTTCAGAACAGGAATGTCAGAGGCATTTTCCTACTCAAAGATATCCAGGATATGTTACACACCTTTATTTTGAAAAGGCCAGCTTTGAACAGGGAAGATGTATTGCGCAGGTGAGACTTCGAGTAACTGGACGTTTAACAATGAGGTCCTGGTGCATCTTTCAGGGAAAATTTCAGATACTCTGGTGCAGAGCAGAAATACAAAAATTCATGTCTAGGGAGCGGACAGCCCTTGGGATTTATGAGGAACGTCAGAGTATTTAGTTAAAGTCACCGAATAGAGTTCAGTATTACCAGCACTTCACAGTATTTCAGTACTCTAAACAGTATTTGTACTCTAAACATGCTAGTTTAGAGTATCCTTGGAAGATATTAAAGCATCTCTGGAAGGTCTTGGAAACTGTGCTTAGTCTTATTTTTAAGCAACTGCATGCTGATTTTAAAGAAAGCTGCAGCTGTATAGATAGTAAAATGATAATAAATACTGTTTGTAAATATTGCTATTAAAACAGAGCTGAAGTTTTTGAGCAAGGAGCTTCCATGGTAAGGGCATCTGTCAATGCTACCTCAGTTCTTAAGCAAATGTGAACTTGGCACAAGCATCCACTCAGCAGGCAGTTTCTATCATATTGTTCTGAAAAGGAGGGGGGGAAAAATGGTTCCCTGGATTTTAGAGAGTCTGAGAATC